TTGGGTCCCTCAGGATTTTCTAACTAGATGATAAACTTAGAGATAATCAATTTTAAATAAGTGTGTGTGTGTGTGTGTGTGTGTGTGTGTGTGTGTGTGTGTATGTGTGTGTGTGTGTGTGTGCACGCACACTCACGTGTGCATGCACATGGGCTCATGGGTCCACTCAGATGTCATTGCTTGGTGCCATCCACCATTTTTTTTTGAGACAGGGTTTTAATTAGCCTGGAGCTCATAAAGTAGACTAGACTGGTTGGCCAGTGAGGCCTAGGGGTCTGCCTGTCTCAGCCTCCTCAGCGCTGGGATTATAAGCACATACCAGTGTACTCCCCCTCCCCCCACATCCCCCACTCCACAGCCTGCACAAGGGTTCTGGGGAATTGAACTCAGGTCTTCATGCTTGTGTGACAAACACTTTACCAACTAAGCTGTTGTCCCAGCCCTGCTGTAACTTATTATTGCACCGTGGGGGTTGCAGAGGGGCGGAACTGAGACCCAGAAAGGCTGAGTGACTTGCCCAAGGCCACACAGCTAGAATCAGTGTCTTCTAACTGATATTCCGATTCTTCTCCATGGTGTCAGCCACGATGAAAGTCACTCAGTTCCTGGTAATGATGGAGGGGGGAAATCTCCTCTCTTTCTTGCTTATAGAAATCCCATTACCCACAGTTCCCAGGAAGAGGGGACACTAAACATTCCACTGGAGAGCACAGGTGAGTAAGGCGGGGGAGGGGACATGCATGAGAGAGAGAGAGAGAGAGCACCCATTGCCCTGATAATTGAATCTTGTTGTGGGGAGACAAAGGGACACACTGAAATTGAGTTAAGCGGAAAATGTGATTTCTGAATTGGTAGACGTCTTTTGGGCCTGAGGCCCCTATCATTTACTCCAGGTACCTGGTGGTCTCATACATCTGACCCCAGAGCTCAGCTGAAGCACTGGCCATCTGGGATCAGCTGCGTGGGGCAGGGAACGAAATTAATGTTCAATTCCCAGGGGCTGCAGCTGGTGGACCAGCAGCTAAAGATGAGGCAGAGAAAGGAAGGACAGAGCACAATCCTTCTGTGAGTTAGTGAGCTCCCAAGCACCCTTGCAGGTGGGGAAGAGGTGAGGGAGAGGCTGGCGGCAACAGTCTTTCTTGGCAATCCCATCACTGGAGTTTAATGGACATTCCCTTCCCGAAGATTTGGTGTCTTGCTGATTTCTCTCTCGAATATTTAATTTCAAACTCCTGCCCTCCACCTCCGAAGTGTGAACCCTGGAAATGAGGAGAGTCGTCTCTCTCCTCCTCCTCCTCTTCCCTCCCTGCTTTCTTTTCTTCCTACCTGTTGTACTGAGGCTAGAAATTGCTCTGGCCAAATGGGCTTGCTCCAGTCACAGGAATCCTGGGGTTCCCCTACACACAACTCTTTGGAATGCAAACATCCCAATTTCTTGTCGGAATGTATGCAAAAAGATATAAGGCTCGGTGTCCCCTCCCTCTGAACCCACCTTTTCTAGTAGCTGGTAAATGTACAGCAGTTTACAACACCACAAAGCCCAACTGGGAAGAGCCCGGAAGAAAATCTGTTTCCCAACAGGAACTCAGTTCCAGCAGTCTTTTGTGACTGTGAAGAAAATATGAATTATGGTTCCTGGCCATGTGAAGTCCTCACTGAACAGAAAGGAAAAAAAAAAATGAGGAAGAGAGAAAAGGCTGCATCTGTTTCCATCTCGACTGCTCACGTTTTAAATACACCCACGAGGGCCTGGGTCTAAATTCTCCAGGTCCTGAGCAACTGACGTTCAAAAAGCAAGAAGAAAGGAAGAAGAGGATGGTGAAGGAAGGGGGTGATGATGATGATGACGATGATGATGATGATAAGAGCGAGCAGCTGAGATGCGGGCGCTGATAGGTTTGTGTCTGCCTCAATGTACCCCTGTGCAGTCCTGGCCCTTGCTGAACAGGGGAGCTTGGCTTCCAAAAAAGAACCAGGAGGGCATCATTAGCACAGTGCCATCTCTCTCTCAGTCCATAGCAATTACTACCCAGAAGCCTTCAGGCTGCCAGGTGCTTTCATTACAGGGGAGTTAGAGGTTCTGTTGCCCCTATCTTGGGCTAAAACAAGCATTTTCTGCGCTGAAAATCATGGCTTCATTTAAGTCCATAATTGCGTTGATTCTGGTATGTATGGGACATGGTGAATTCATGACTAAGAAATATATTAGTCAATAAGTTTGCTCCTTTTAGGAGTCATTAGTCATCCCTGGATTTAGTCCTTTCCTGCACTGCACTGAACCAGGGTGGTAAATTTCTTCCCCACCCCCTACCCACTCTGTGGGGACCAAAGAAATCATCCTTTGAGACCACCTGTTCTGGGGATAATTGGTTTCTGCAGGTCACAGGGGTGGGATGGAATCAGTGAATGATAAAGGGGACTGCCCGTCCTGTTTCCATTCCATACTGAAGGAGGTCAGTGGGCACAATGGAGAGAACGTATTGACAAGTCCTTACGCTATTGAAAGCCTTTAACTTAACAACTATTTAATGTCTGTTAGTTGAGGTTCAGGGAGGTGGGTGGGAGAGCACCCTTCTTATGAAACTGCTGGCCAAGGATAAGGAGCAGCAGAGACAACCAGCGTTTCCCGCCTCTGGTTCTGTATACTTTCGATCTGACAGTGGACTCACAGTCAACTCCTTTCCCTGGAGGAAACCGAGTATGGCGAACCATCGCTATGTCCTTTTGGGGCTTCAGAGCCCACACTTTGGACTCAGCCCAGAGCTCCTTCTTTGGGCTAAATAAACTATGACCCGAATGAATGAATAGTTCTAACCAGGAATTTGCCAGATAAAGATGAAGACATGCTTCTGCTTCCTGGTCTTAGGATGGGTGGTCTGTGACTCACAGACAATAATCACAAGATAGGTATCTCCATTGGGACAAAAATTGCATGAATAGCTTATTAAGACAGAGTGTCTCCTTATGTAGCTTAGGCTAGTCTCAAACTCACTATCCTCCTGCCTCGGCCTCCTGAGGACTAGGATTACAGGTGGGCTCCACGATGCCTGGCACATTTTTTGAGAAACTGGCTGAAAATTATATATCACAAGAAGAACAGTTGCCTGTAATTCCAGCACTCAGAAGCCTGAGGCAGGAGGATGATGAAAGCAAGGTCAGTCAGAGTTACATATTGAGATCCTGCTTAAAGAGGAAGGGGGCTCACAGAAAGTAAAAACACAACAGCAGCCCCCCCCCCAACTTCAGAATCCAGAGGCCATGAGGCCATTAAAATAAAAACCCATATAAGAGAAGGAAATACATCCACTACAATCACCATATACAACACTATCACATCAGTGACGTCACAGCACCACGGTGGGAAACCCCCAGTATGTGTGTCTAGGGGTTAGACGGTGAGGCATGACCTGCTCTTAGGAACTGACCCAATTGCAAAGTGTCTTTTCGACCACCAGAAGCCTGTGACTGAGAGAAGTGCATCTGGGTGTTCCAGGTCAAGAACATAAAACTCCGCAGTTGGATTTCACCCCCACCACCTGGGATGACTCCCCAGATGCATAAACTCACCACTTGTCTGAATCTCGGGCACTCACCTAGTCTGGCATTCCTTCCCCCACCCCGTCTGCAAACCGAGCACCTTAGAGGGGAAATGACCTCTGAGATGAGTAGGGTTGAGCAGCAGCCCATCTCACTGAACATCCTGATAAACTGTAGCTGTGTGTTCATGACACTGGAGGGCATATGCCACATCCCCAGAGAGCCCAGAAAAGGCAGGGGGGGACACCCAAGCTCTGGGCTGTCAGGAAGCTGAGGGGTTAACCTCGTCTTGCCCCATCGTCACTTAGGGAATCTGAATTCTTGATCAAGTATTTGTTGGGATTGTTGTGTATTTACTGTAATTACCGAACATCAAATGTGCATTGACGTAATTACCATAAATATGTGTAAAGACATTATAACGTGTAATTATGTCATCTAATTCTTTAATAAAGCATGCAGGAGAAAAATTATTCTGCACATGCGCATTTCTTTTTCTAGTTTTACCTGAGGTTTTATTTGCAGCCCCCCACCACCACTTTTCCTTTTTAAATTACAGAGATAATTTCTTCTATTTGGAAATACCTAGCAGAATAGCAAAGTTAGGTATTCTCTCTCTCTCTCTCTCTCTTTCTTGTGTGTGTGTGTCTCTGTGTGTGTGTGTGTGTGTGTGTGTGTGTGTGTGTGTGTCTGTCTGTCTGTCTGCATGTAGGCAGGTGTATATGCTCATGGACACACACAACACTGGGTACAGGGGACTTTTCTGCCTATGGAAGTGGTGTCACATTCTGGGTATGACTATCATGCCCATATTCAGTCTGTGACATTACCAGTGGTGATAATTCTTTGACCCAGGACCACCCCCTTTTCCTCTCCCTCTCCTTTCCTCTCACTTGTAAATTGCCTGGGATGACCCATGCCCTCCCGGAGTGTGCATGTCAGGGAACAGGCCACCTAGCTTGGTGACCCTGAGAACTCCTAGGAGAGAGATGATTGGTATGATGTTGACATTATTCTGAACCCAGAAAATGTCTGCCAAGATTTGAACAAGAAGGCAACTCTCCCAGGTGGGACCCACAGGGCTGGGTGTTCAAGCAGCACTTGGATCAATTAGGGCACATTTAGGGTCTGTGCCAAGACCTACATTCTCCCATTCTCCCATTGTCATTGTCACCTCACAGGTCTTTTGGAGCATGGCTAGCCTGAGTAAAATGGTTTGAATAAGAACAGCCCCCTTAGGCTCATATATTTGAATACCTAGTAATCAGGAGCGGCACCACTTGAGAAGGATTAGGAGGTGTGTCCTTATTGGAAAAAGTGTATCACAGGGGGTGGGCTTTGAGATTTCAAAAGCCCAAGTCAGGTCTAATCTCTCTCTCTCTCCTCTCTCTCTCTTTCTCTCTCTTTCTCTCTCTCTCTCTCTCTCTCTCTCTCTCTCTCTCTCTCTCTCTCTCTGCCTACAGATCGGGATGTAGCTCTCAGCTACTACTCCAGGGCCTGTCTGTGTGCTGCCATGTTCTCCACCATGATGATAATGGACTAAACTTCTGAAATTGTAAGAAAGGTCCAAATTAAATGCTTTCTGTCCTAAGAATCGCCTTGGTCATGGTATCTCTTCGCATCAATAGAACAGTGACTAAGATACTGAGGCACAGAATTCTAGAGATAAACAGCCTGGAATATTATGCTCTTGTGAGGAAAAGTAATATCAAATTAGGGATCATAAAGGGAGGAGCTGGAGAGATGGCTCAGTGGGTAAGAGCACTGTTATTCTTGTGGAGAACCCAGGTTCGATTCCCAGAATCTCCATGGTGGTTAGCAACCATTTGTAACTCCACTGACACCAAACACTCACAGGGTACACATACACACACATGCAGCAAAACACTCACACACATAAATAAATAAATCTAAAAAATTTTTTCTTAAAAAAAAAGCAATCCTAAAGGGGAAAAATTGGTAGATTGCATAAGAATGTATATAGGTGCTGGAGAGATGGCTCAGAGTTTAAGAACACTGGCTGCTTTTCCAGAGGTCCAGAGTTCAATTCCCAGCAACCACATGGTGGCTCACAACCATCTATAGTGAGATCTGGTGCCCTCTTCTGGAATAAAGGCCTACATACAGGCAGAACACTATACATATAATATATAAATGTATTTTATATATACATAAAAATATAATTTTTTTAAAGAATGTATATATAAACTCTCCACATTAAAAAATTACAATGGCCGGGCGGTGGTGGCGCACGCCTTTAATCCCAGCACTCGGGAGGCAGAGTCAGGCGGATCTCTGTGAGTTCGAGGCCAGCCTGGGCTACCAAGTGAGTCCCAGGAAAGGCGCAAAGCTACACCAAGAAACCCTGTCTCGAAAAACCAAAAAAAAAAAAAAAAAAAAAAAAAATTACAATGAATCAAATCAAGCAAAATATTAAGGAGACATTTGCGGCACATCTGATGTGGGGGGGTTGTTAATAGGAACAACACACACACACACACACACACACACACAAAACCAGAAACCAAATACAAATGACCAAAGAGCACAGAAAGTGAACCAGCCTAACACACAATCAGTGGGAGAGATACTACTTTTCACCTATTACATTAGTAATTATTTTAATAAATTATACAGTATTGGTGAGGTATGAAAATGGGTTTAACTCCTCAAAGCCGGTTTGGCAATGAATAATAATAATTAAAAAAAAATACAATACCCTTTGACTTACTAATTCTTCTTCTGATATCTTACCTAAAAAAATAAAAACATATAGTCAAAGAACCAGATCCTAAGTTCTCCTGGATGCCAAGTATTTTTGAAGTGAAGGGGGGGGGGGGGGGGGGGGTTCCGTGGGAGCAATTTAATACCCAAGAAAGGGGGACTGTTAGAGCATGCTGTTAGAGTTGTCACACACTTGGAATACTAGTCAGCCATTGAAAATGACAGGTGAGCGCTTGGTAACCTGAACTGATAAACTGATGTGGGAAAATGAATGCTCTATGTCAAGTTAGACACAGTTCATGGAGGAACGCGCACCCCAGTGTTTACACTAGTCGTTGGCGTGAAAACAGGAGCGCTAAACATTCTTTCTTTTATCCTTAAAAATATCTAGTTAGGGTCTAGAACTGGTGGCTCAGTGGTTAAGAACACTGGCTGCTCTTCCAGAGCACCCATGTTCAATTCTCAGCAGCCACATGGTGTTTCACAACAGTCTGTAATTCCAGTCTCAGGGCATCTGACTCCCTCTTGTGGCATTTGTGGACACCAGGCATGCACATGGTACACAGATATATATGCAGGGAAGACACTTACGCACATAATAAATAAGTAAATCAAAATTAAAAAGTAAAAATATCTAGTTAGTCCAGATTTTTATAGTCAACATTTAAGCTCCTCTTTAAAGTGGTACACACACACACACACACACACACACACACACACACACACACACACACACACTTTGGTTTAGTGCCTTAAGGCATTCAGAAACAACGCACAGTCTATAGAGAAAGCCTCCATACAGCATGGGTCCCACATTGTGCACCAAAGACTACCCCTGCCTCTTCCTTCCAATCAAGCATTACAGGAACACACGGCCAGAGCCAGGTTCTCTTCTTCCTTCCCCTCTCCTTCTTTCCCTCTCTTTTTTTTTAGACAGATCTCATATAGCCCAGGCTAGCCTGTACCTCACTATCTAGTTAAAGAAGACTGTAAACTTCTAATTCTCCAGCCTCTACCACCCGAGTGGTGGGATTGCATGCCTACCTAATGCAGTGTTTGGGGAGTGAACTCAAGGGCTTCACGCACGTTAGGTAAATACTCTACTGACTCCAGAGCCAAGTTATTGAAGGCTCATCAGAAGTTCAACAGTAGATGCTCAATTTTATTTTGGCTTCCAAATAGTAAGCAGGATTTAAAGCAGAATTGGGAGCCAGGATAGCTGGCTAGAATTAACCTGGTTGATGGGTTCCTTGAACGCAGTACTGATGCAAAGAATCTTTCTCCTGAAGTCACTGGACAACCCCAAGTTGTGGGACCTCATGGAATTGGCTCTGCTGCACGCAGAGTTCAGATCATGAGGGAGGTGGAAGTGGGTTAGTGTAGTGGTTTGAATAAGGACGGTTCCATAGACTCATATATTTGAATGCTTAGTCATCAAGGAGTGGCACTACTTGAGAAGGATTAAAAGGTGTGGCCTTTTTGGAGTAGATGTGGCCATGTTGGAGGAAGTATGTCACTGGGGGGGGGGGGGGCTTTGAAGTTTCAAAAGTCCAAGCCAGGCCCAGTGTCTCTTTTTTTGCTGCCTGCTGATCAAAGTATAGAACTCTCAGCTGCTTCTCCAGTACCATGCCTGCCTGCATGCCACCATGCTCCCCACCATGATGACAATGAACTAAGCCTCTGAAACTATAAGCAAGCCCCAGTTAAATTCTTTCTTTCATAGAGTGGACGTGGCCATGGTGTCTCTCCACAGCAGAAGAACAGTGACCGAGACAGTAATCTGAAGAGCCAGAAAACAGAGTCAAATACTAAAGTATTCCTGATTTACCTCTCTGCTGGTCTGTCCCACTTTGTACGTATTTAAAGCAATTTATGAAACCAGGCATCTGTGAGCCACAGAGACAAACAGGAAATGACGGATAGGATTCAAGAGAAGAGTTTCCTGTGAGGACTACCTGACATGGGAGGTAGCCATGGGGTGACTTGCAGATGTCTCGCAGTGCAGAGGGTAGTAGGCTATTTTTAATGAACCACGAATGGAACAAACTCTTTGTTGTCATGCCAACCATCTCTTCCACCTTCTGGACAACATGGAGATCATATGGTAGAATTCTTCGAGGGGACTTGAAAGCATTTTGTTCTTACTGCTATTGTGACTAAGAACGGGGTCCTTTCTACACCCCAGATTGCAGGGTAGGAAACTGGAGTTGTAGCCGCAGACTCAGCTGATCAAAGGCTCAAAGAGGGATGTTGAAATGGGACAAGGACTACGTGAGGCTGATGTATTTTTTTTTCTTGAGGTTCAGGCAGTAAAACCATAGTTCAGCTGTTTTGAGCAATGCCGCCAAAGAGAAGAGGGGACCTGGCTGTCTTCATGAATGACCACTTTAGTGATTGTTGTCAATCTCAATCCAAGAATTTCTCCCAGCAGGTGAGGCAGTGTATCTCTGTAAACCTAATCCCAGCACCTGGGGAGGCAGAGACAGGTGCATCTCTGTGAGTTTGAGACCAGCCTCATCTACATCATAAGACTCTATCTCAAAGGGGCAGGGGTGGTGGGGAGGTAAACAAAGAAAGAAGAAAGGAGCATGGGAAGGGAGAACTTGTGTGTGTGTGTGTGTGTGTGTGTGTGTGTGTGTGTGTGTGTGTGTGTGCTCTTGTGTGCGGGTGCATGTGTACATACGTGCACATGGACAGAGGCTAGAGATCAATCTCGGGCCTTCGCCACTGTGTTGGCTAGTTTTATGTCACCTTGACACAGTTGCCTGAGAGGAGGAGACCTCAGCTGAGAAAATGCTTTCCCAAGATCACGCTGTAATTTTCTTCATTAGTGATTGATAAGGGAGGGCCCAGCCCATTGTGGGTGGTCCTACCCTGGGCTGGGCTGGTGGTCCTGGGTTCTATAAGAAAGCAGGCTGAGTAAGCTGTAAAGAGCAAGCCAGTAAGCAGCACCCCTCCATGGCCTCTGCATCAGCTCCTGCCTTCAGGTTCCTGCCCTGTTTGAGTTCCTGTCCTGACTTCCTGTGATGATGAACAGATGTAGAAGTGTAAGCCAAATAAACCCTTTCCTGCCCAAGTTGCTTTTGCTCATGGTGTTTCATCACAGCAGTAGAAACCCTAAGACATCCATCTTGATGGTTGGCCTGAAGCTCACCAAGTAGATTGGGCTGGCCGGCTGCTCCCCAGAGACCCAGCAGTCTCTGCCTCCCTGATGCTGGGAGAACAAGCACACAGGCCACCACCGTACCTGGTGTGCTGTTGTTTGCCCCTTTTTATTTTATGCCGTTCTGGGAATTGAACTCATGTCTTTACACTTGCAAGGCAAACACTTCACTGACTGAGCCACTGGCCAAGTTGGAATCCTCTCTTTTTTTCTTTTTCTTTTTGTTTCATGCTGGGACCTCCACATGTCAATGTTGAGCATGCATATTATTATTATCTCATCTTGTTATTCACAGTTCAAAATGTGTCCTGTTCCTATTTCATTCATCCTCTCAATATCCCTAGAAAGTCAGGAAAGAATGACACACTCATTACAGAGAAGGGAAAAAAAAACCAGACTTGTAGAAGAGAACAGAAGCCTGAAATTCTTGTGCTAAATACATGATGGTGCTACATGGAGAGGCCTGTCTTGTGGCCATCTGGCTGCCAGTTTTATCTAGAAGCCAACCTTGTATGGGTGTGCCCAGTACATGCAAACACTAAGGATGATAAAATACAATGGAGTTCATAAATGTCCTAAGGCAAATGTTCCTTGCTGTCAATGGGCAGGTCTTCAGCTGGCCTCAGGCAAAACAAAGGCCCAGGAAGTGAACCAAGATAAGGTGGCACCCATGTGCCAAGGAGCCTCATCACACGGCCATCAGACTTCTCTGGGAGCTCGCACCTATAGAAAGCCGTAGAAGAGAAGCCCAAGCAGTTGGGGCAGATCCAGGGACCGGCCTCGTGTTGAGCTCACAGTACTGAGGTGACTTGTGGATGTCCAGTTGGAAAAAAAAAAAAAAAGTCAGGCGAACCAGGCAAA